TGAAATATGATACCACGCATACACATACAGCTCCAGGCTCGGCCCCACTGAAGATTTGAAAGAAAGAAGACCGATATATATTGTATTGATTTGATGATTAAGAAACTGGTGTTATTAAACTGGGACATCAATAATATGTATAGAGATCGTTCACTTACAAATATACTTTGGGTGCTTGATACATTAAATATTAATTTAATCAATTCTTTATTTATTTACTTATTTTTAGCGAAATTGGTTTGTCAGATATCATTTTTGTGAAGTAATAAGTCCCAAACTATCGTAGTCAACATAAAAAAAACATTATGTGCTGCCATCTAGCGACGGTAAGCGAATCTATTATGAAATGTAGAAGTAATTCTCTTAATTAGTGGTTTTACCTTTTTGTTATTTTCTCACAAAAACGCGAGTAATAAGAGAAGATAATAACATTACTCTTATATACAAATTGGGCGGGTAATTTTTTCACATCTTGTCTATCTGTCAGGCAAAGTAATTTTCATCTGAACATTAAAAATACTTTTGTGCATTAGAAAATTTCGAACTTTCGTATGCGAAGTCTTTATACTGTCTAAATAGGTACCAAACGTTTCCTAAGAGAAAACTTTATATTCTATGTATTGTCTTCAGTAATCAATTTCGATTCGTGTCCGTAAAATTTGAACGATCTCGCAACCACCATAAAAAATTATGAAATAAGAATAAATTATGCATCTTTCATTCTGGAATGAACACAAAGGTCTTTAAATTGATAGTTATTGGACGAGCATCAGGACTTGTTTGTTGTGCAAATATAAGGTAGTGACAGTACATACTTCTATTGTATTTTAAGTAAAGGTTTTTAATAATATTTCAGTACAATCTCCATCTATTGAGAGGTAATTGAACTTCCAAGTATTTTTTCTTAATTTTTTCTCCGTCTATTGAGAGATAACTGAACTTCCAAGTATATTTTCTCCATCTATTGAGAGATAACTGAACTTCTAAGTATTTTTCCTTATTATTTGTTTCTCCATCTATTGAGGGATAACTGAACTTCCAAGTATTTTTCTCCATCTATTGAGAGATGACTGAACTTCCAAGTATTTTTCTACACCTATTGAGAGATAACTGAACTTCCAAGTATTTTCCAAGTAGAGGTCTTTGAGCGATATGTATATTAGGATTTCTAACTGTCTCTCCTAGACTTATGTCAACTGATCAGTGAGTATCAAAAATGCTTTCAATAGGAAATTAACACCGAGAAACAGAGAAATAGTTGATTAGTTGTTGTGCGTTTTTCCACAAAGCAGAGAGTGGTACAATAGAATCAGTATGAGGGTACTTACTTCTGAATAACTAAGTTGACCATCACGAAATAAGATTATCTAACACTCTTTTATTTCGAATTCCTTAACTCCTGTAACAAATTAAGTTTAATATTATGTGAACACAAATATAAGAAGAAATATTTCACGACCTTTATCCATAGCTGCGTTTTGTCTATGATCTGAACAATGCCTAAGATGTGGTTGGATAGCAGTTGAAACATTAAGAATTAGTCTGGGCCAGAGCATGTTTACGTTCAGAATCTACTTGTTTTGTGAAGAGGGGAAAAATGGTTATGTTATACACTTTTTCATTCAATCACATATGTTACTTCAGTTATACATGAAGCTAATGTATAGTTTTTTCATATAAATGAAATTTTTGTAACATTTCAATGTCAGCCGTAAGAGACAAGCACCTACATTGCCAGTTCGAAAATTAAAATTGTATAATATACAGGTAAGTGACAAATCTATATCTAGTTTAAACCATAATTTCAAACTGTTCTCATTCAGAGAACAAAACGTCAAATCTTTTTAATTAACAGGATATTGACTATTCTGTGTTAGCTTTGATAGAATTTCATCTCAGTTATCTATTTAATAGATGACACACAGATTTCGTTACTGTACAAAAAACATGATGTTTCTGTTTATCAATAATAGATATTTAGTGGATTCGCCAAGATACTTTATTTTCAAAGTCGAACTGGAAGCTCTAACTTTACCTAAACGGTCTGCCTGTAGAATTTCACAAAAAAAAACAATTCTGGCATATTATAGGAAACAAATTTGTAGAAATTTTAAATAACTTAATAGATAGAGGCACACTTCCGCCTTTATTTAATTAAAGTCGCAGAAACCGCTAAAGACACCAACATCTACAAGCTAGTTAACTTCTGTAGTGAATACTGGTGTATAAAAGACATTTTAAAACGATCAAATACGTTATCTATCTTTAATTGGATAATCAAAGTTTCGCTTTACAGCTTCTGCGGGAGCGTTCCATTAAAACACAAACCGTAATTGACAGTACCAAGCTTCAAATGGTTTAAATAATAACTTCTAATCGAATCTATAGCGTACATTTTTACAACGTGTATTTGAAGTGTAAATAGTAAAGCTTATTGGTGAAAGAATTGTATCGTTGAAATCATTAAAAGTTACCTGTAGTAAATAAAAATGCTATGAAATAACAAAATATAAGATAAAATTAATATAATTATAGATAATAAATATACTTAGTAATCAAACTTAATCATGGGTGCCATCCTTTGTCTCTATACATCTGGTCGTAATTGTTCTTTGAATTTTCTGTCAGTGTACTTGGTGAGGATTGGTGGTTTCGTGTCAGGTATTATTTGTCCATGATTAGTTAGAAATGATCTGCGACTGCGCTTCTTCCGGTTTGTTTAGAACGAGAGTCAATATGTCCTCCTATCTTTGTGTGTAGGGTTCTTCCGATTTCCCCTATGCACATATGATGGCAGATGTTACATGCAAGCTACTAAACAACAATGGAGACAAGACACCCACATTTAGATTGCAACCATGTTTTTGTAAGACAGTTAACTTTATTATATTGTAAGGTATTGTACCGAGATTTTGAAAGTTGGCTTTTAAGGGTTGGGCCTTGTCCGTTCTATAACTTTAATCGGTAAGTTCAGATTTCCCGATTATAGTTTATGTTTTCTCGGAGATAGTTTCGTCAATTAGAGGTACCGTAAAAGTAATATTTTTTTTTTGTTATCTTTAGAAAATTGTCTTTTTTTTCTTCCTTCTTCATGTTGTTGTTGTTTTCATGTTGGAGATGCGATGTTGATTTTTGCGCATAATAGTCCTCGGAAGTTTGTCCAATTTAAAAAAAATAATAATAGTCGTTACTCAAAAAAAAAAAGTGTGATTTTAGTTCAAAGTATGTAGTGGTCGATTCTTTCTTATTCTCTGATAATTGCAACTTTCTTGGAAGTTTTTGGATGACAGGAGTTGAAGTTAAGGAAGAGAGGTCTTCTAATTGGTTTGTGAAACAAGGTAGATTGTATGTTATTGTCATTGAGATGATGGGAGTTGAAGTTAAGGAAGAGGTTCTCTAATTGGTTTGTGAAACGAGGTAGATTGTATGTTATTGTCATTGGGATGACTGGAGTTGAAGTTAAGGAAGAGAGGTCTTCTAATTGGTTTGTGAAACAAGGTAGATTGTATGTTATTGTCATTGGGATGACAGGAGTTGAAGTTAAGGAAGAGAGGTCTTCTAATTGGTTTGTGAAACAAGGTAGATTCTATGTTATTGTCATTGTCGATCCTTATAGTAACATCAAGAAAATCCATACTCCTCTTGTCATTCCAGTGATTCAGGGTCAATTGGATGTTGGGTCTATGAAAATTAGAAAATCTAAAACTGGATTAAAGATGAAAGGCCATGGTTCCAGAGTCCAAAGACGTCATCGATGTGTCTAAGCCAGTTCTTTCAACAATAAGCTTAACTACTTAATATGTCAAAATGCATACTGTAGATTCAACTAGAATTTATTATTTAAATCATATGAAGCTTCTTACTGTGAGTTATGGTTTTGGTGAAAAAGTTGTAAAGTAAAATGTTGAATGTCTAATTAAAGAGAAACACCAAATTTTGTGTCATAAGGTTGTTTATTAAAACCATCAAGAAGTTACAGGACCATCAAAACAAATAGTATTGAAACATTAACTTACTCTGACAAAAATATTGAAAGGATTCAATCATAGAACTAGTTACACACGATGAAGAAAATAAACCACAATACAATAGGTTGTTTCAAGTGTAACTTAAAAGGACATATTGCCAGAAACTGCTGACAAAATCCTTTATGGAATAAAATCTCCACCCCCATCACCAAAGGATGTCAGATAAAAAAAAACTGTTACATAAATGCTGGAAACAGCCATTATAGCTTAGACTGTGAGGAATTGACAGGTGTTAATACACTGTGGAGACAGTGCCTTAAGGATGAGTCTTTGAGCCCAACCAGATCACAGGAACAACAGAGAGCTAACCAGACGTCAGAAAAGCAGGAAATTGTGTAATTACTGGGGCGAAGTTCTCCATCTGCCCCAAATGAAACAAACATTTCATTATTTAAAGAAACCAGTCCACAAGTCTCCAGGTTTATTGATGGAAAGTCTTTCATTATGTTGATCAACACTAGTGATGAAAGATGAGAAACTGCTGCCAAAGATAATGAAAAAAGTGGTAATGACATGAACATCAGGTCAAAATAAATTTCCAGGAAGAGGAAAGTTGGAAATTAATTATCCTTACTGTTGGAAACTTCTGGAAACTTCTCATCATGTGTGGGTGGCCAAGAGTGCATTTCATGCAGAGACATCAATGTGAAGTTAGGTTAGCTTCAATGTGATGCAGAGACATCAATGTGAAGTTAGGTTAGCTTCAATGTGATGCAGAGACATCAATGTGAAGTTAGGTTAGCTTCAATGTGATGCAGAGACATCAATGTGAAGTTAGGTTAGCTTCAAATAGCTTCACAATCTATGACTTGGAACCCCCCTGTGCACTACACGATAATTACCACCAAGAAATGAAATACTTACACCAGGACTTATTAGAAATAAATATTCATCTAGTGATTGGGGCGTAGTAGAACCAAACACTCCAAGCTGTCTTGAAGGACTGTTGGTTGGAAGAACTCTTGTGGATCTGAAGTATAAAGATGTCGTCATTAGGGCCACAAACATAAACTTTAAAATTTGATTCAAGTTTGAATGGGACATTGAATAAGAGAGGCTTCAAAGGTAGTACTTGCACAAGTTGTCATTTATGCTGATTTAAAGTTATTATTTGACTAAATAATGCTAAATAAGACCCATCTCTTCATAAAAGTAAAGTTTTCTTTTTCCAAGCATTACTCATAGTTGATATAAAATTTGATTTAATATTCCATGTTTTGGTTGATAAATAAGTTTACACGATAATTCTTCTAATGAACTTGATGAACAAAAGGTTTTTAAATGTGAAGAATTCTTGCGTAAGTTTTTTTACCTACCAATTAATCCAGAATATGAACCTTAAACAATGAAAGTCCACGTTTTGCTTCTAAAGTGTTTAACATTCAGATATTCTTTTTTGTGACATTTTAAATCAAATGTCAGATGACAGTTGTTGTTCAACACACAAAATTAACAAAGTATTTGAACACTACTGGACCTTAAATGCTATAAATTATTTTTCAATTGAAGCCAAACAGCATTTTCAGCATTACTATTTTAAATAATTTTATTTACATCAGAATATCACTACACACACGCATGAAAAGAATGGACAACTAGTAAGAATTCATCATTTTTCTTTTTATTAGCTGTCATCAATACAAAATGTCAACAAATCTGCTAAGTTTAGAATGGGCCATATACTTTACACGTCTCTCATCCAAAATTATATATATATATATGTCTTATATCCATATTTACATGCACAGAATAGCACTAATGTCACAAATAAAAACTATATTAGTCTTTTGTACCAATAAAGTAGTACCATTCTTCACTTAAGATAGAGAGAATTTACTGTCTTTCATAGTAAAATAATTTTATCTCGTGAGGTACGAGATGTTCTCAGTTGAAACCTTAAGATAGCCAAAGATTTTTTCGGAATAAAGTAAGCAATACGGTGAACAGTAACTTTAATTTTAACTTTCACTAAAAACACACATGAAATACTGTTAGGCAAACACCATTTCTGAGAATATGAAGATTTAGGTAAAATACTCTGTCAGAGACTGTATGTACAACCTCTAAGAGGCATGCCATGAGATTCAATGGAAAACCTGGCATAAACATAGCTAGAGTCATTGAAGTAGTTCAATAACTGTGTTAATTATTACTACAGAATGGAAACCGGAAGAAAAAAAAACAGATTCCTTAAAGCCTGCTGCTAACAATGTACACACTATCTACACATTTTTGACATAATTTTGGCACAATGTGATTATTTCACATTCATCATCATATTTTCTTGGTATAGGCATTTTGTGAGCTTAGACAATAACCTCTAATTCATCCTATGGAAACCTGATGGCTAACAGCACTCTCTTAACTCAGCACTCTTTACAATATTTTACAACAACGTCAGCACTCAAACTCTGAAGCAGTGATTGCATTCAAGTCTTTCATTAAGCCCTCTAGGTTAGCCATTTCTTGATTCAGTTCTTCTGTACTGTAAGATGGCTGAAACGAAAAAACCAAAACACTAAAGAACAGATACAAGTTAATATAGTAACAACAACTTCTGCATTAAAATAACTTACATCTGCAAGTAGAAGGACGGATAAGTTGTACCAAAATTTATATAAATAAGATTAAAAACAGATCAAATCCTTAACCCATTCACTGCTGATTCGTATAGGATAGGTCCACCCCCCGACAGCTGAATGCAAGTGTGCCATATACGACGTACGTACGGCTTGCAAAGATTTTTCGCTCGTTTAAGAGCAGTTCCAGTCATCGGATTAATAGAAATAAATTAAATATTTATGATTTTACTTTAATACAAATAAATCATTGGATGATTACAATCAATTACATATTTAGGCAAAATGGAAAATTGAACATAACTGTTTTGGTTTTTAAGCAAAAGGTATAAATTAAAAAAGATTCTTACTACATATTAAAATTCACAAAAATTGCTGATAAGACAGAAGTAAAAGGTTCCAATTTAAGGTAACAGTTATTAACAATACTGTAATTCCATATTTATCATATTAAATCCTTTAGTAAATATACATATATATATAAAAAAAGGAATGGTTCCTACCAGTATTTGATCCTCCTTTAAAGGTTTACAGGCAGTTATTAACGGCTCTGGTCGAGCATTATGTGATGGAGTGTCAGAAATAGTACCTGACAGTGCAGTATTACTGATTTCACCCAATTTTAAAGGACTTGTCGATAGTTTGGGTTTATTAACTACAGAAAAAAAAATCAAATTTAAAAAATGCATAACAAAAGGTTTAAAGCAAAATATTTTATTTTACAAAAAATAATTCACATTAAAGTGCTCTTATACAGAGTCATAACTTTACCTATATCTGTGAAACAAATTATAAAGTCTGAAAAATTAAAATGAATACAGTAACAAAATTCTACTCATTCACAATTATTTCGTGTCACTTGTATCCTTATATCCTGCTTTCACACACTGATATTTGGTGCAACATACCAATGGGTGGCTGTGTGGTGGTTGAAGTAGGGGGTTCAGGAACACTAAAACTCCTTAACGGATGTCCCAAGGGCCCTCTTCCAAAGGATCCGTAACTCCCACTCTCATCTTCACTAGTACCACAGTCACTAGGTAAGAACGTACTGTTGTATAGAGGAGGGTTTGCAGATAACTTATCATAACCTACTGGTGGGGTATTAACAGGGGATGAAGAAGTATCTGATGGTGCTGAAAGTGAAATAACACAATATTTTTAATGTATTCTGAAGATGTTTTCACATAAAGAATATGGGTTAAAAATGACTTGGGATGGGTGAATTTATACTTTGATGACATTAAGCTGAGATTAATATATATATATATAT